TTTCAATGAACGCTTGCAACCCCTCTCCCCTCCTCTACAATCTCCTTCAAGCACCTCCAGGTTCTAATAAAAACATTCACGGTAATTAAAGTTGTTTTATTATTATTATTTTTTAATTTGTCAAAAGCAGCCTAGGGAGATGCTCTGATCACCACCTGAGCACTGGATACAATTTGAGGATTTCACCTGCTTTCTGTGGGAAATACGTCAGCAAGTTTTAAGACCTGATGTCAGTTCAAGTGATTCAGCCATGTGATTACGACTTCCAATCAACTACTTCTGTTCACAGGCTCACACAGAGTAAAATTCCACAGAACAACACAGGATGGTTTATTGTGAAGCACCTTCCTTATTTTCTACTTGAATCTGCAACCACCAGCAACCAAAAAAAAAAAAAAAGTAGATGGATTCTATACAACATCCAATAAGACTTCTACAATAACTAGCACTAGGAAATCAGGTTTGTAGGTTTGAAATACACAGGGGAAATGATGATAAGAAGAAATAACCTTCAACTAGAAATTTGTAAGTGACTTAGTCAAAAACTGGAAAAATTCTGAATATTCCCCTTTTGAAAACAATTGGCCCTAATTGCCAAAGAACTTGGACATCTTGTGCTGCAGATCTAAAGAACACATCAGTAAATATAGTTCATTACGAAGAGAGAGAAGAACAAATAGCATGAAGAGTACTTACTCTCCAGACTGATAAGTGTCACTGTTTCTTTATCCTGTTTGTAATCATCACGTCTTGAATTTTGATTCTTTATTTTTAGAAGAAACACCTTACTGGGGAACAGGATGCATCACAAACTACATTATAATAAATGATTAAGAAACAATTCTTACTGTGGCAACAATGTAAGCATACACAATATAGCAAAACAAAGGACACTATTTGAAGATGGTAAACTACTGCCTAGTACCAATCCAGGACAGCAAAAGAGCTAAAAAAAAAAAAAGATCATAAACAGATGACATGGAAATATGTTTTGTCAAGAAAACTTTTTTACACTGATTGTTGTTTGGTATTTAACCAACATTAAACTGTTATTGTAATAATTAAACAAACATATTATTCCAATCTGTTACGTCATTTGATTTTCAACACACACCTCAGTGGTTGAGTACTCTGAGCTCCAAAAATATCACACAACAGATGACTTAGAGAAGAAGGTAACAGATTCCTAGCTTCTCCTGTCTAATTTGTAAACAACCAATGTAAAACACTGTCCCTTACGTCCCACAAATGATCCATCATCTGAAGTGGCAGAACACCTTTTTGTACTGCATACATAAAGGCTTATAGACATTAAACCACTGAGTAGATCAGTCTGTATTACTTCATGTGCATAAACTTTGAGCTGATGCAACTAGTCCCTGAGGACACCTTTCAATTTCCTACTAACCTTAAATAAAACAAAACAAAACACTTAAGAAGAGATCTATGCTCAGAAAGAGTTTCTGGTTCCTTTATGCTTTTTCTTAAAGACAAAACTCACATTAACTATTCTTTGGAATAACAATTAAAAAAAAAGGTGGGAAGAGTGTGGGAAATGAGTCTAAAAATACCACTTCCGCAAAATGTAAAACTGCCTAAGGTACCTATGGAAATTACTTCCCACAGGAAAGGATGGACTCTGAGGCACAAAGGTAGGAGGGAGATCATGGGCACTAAACGTAACAGCAGTCTGGACACAACCTGACCAACCTATTCCAGGCAACCTAGCTTAAGTAGAGAGGTTGGACAAGATGACATCTGGAGGCTAGGATGAGACGAAATAATCCACAGCTGTGCCATGAAAAGCATAACTTGGATGGGATATTGGAAGACTTCCAAGAATTTCTTCAAGGACAGGGCGATCAAGCATTGCAACAGGCTGCCTATGGCCTCTATCCCCAGAGGTTACAACTGGACATGGCACCAAGAGTCCTGGTTTAACAGTCTGAATCAGTACATCACACTCATGGCTGGACTTAATGATCTTGAAGGTTTTTTCCAACCTACACAACTCTACATTTCTGTAGCAGAGAATCACAGTTTGTATCTATCTGAAATAAATATGTTCACTACAAGGTATTATTTCAAGACCACTAAATCTGGGCTCTCAATTTGTACTTGCAAGCTTTCTGAAGAACTGATGTCTAAATGTTTTAGCTTACAACATCTACAAGTATAAATGAACCAGAACAAACATTTTTTTATTCAGAAAAAAAAAATTACATAACCTAATTCCTGATAAACTTTCACAGTCCTAAAATTTTCCCTCATAAAACAGAGGAGTAACAATGGATACACATAATTTATGGAAGAATTTAAGAATCCTGTTATTGATAAATATTCAATGCATTTTAAAATCTATGCAAATAGGAAAAAAAAGAATAAATCATTAAGTAGACCTTTTCCCCTCATTACATATGACTTATACTACTCTCCAATTGTGGGAAATCATATTTCAAAATCCTTCAAATTCTACTATCCATTCACAACTCAAAGCCCAAAAATAATAGGGCTAGTTTATACGTTAGATCTCCATTCAAACAAAGAAGTGGAAAGAATTCTGGAGGAGAAACAGAACATTAAAATAAACAAAACAAAATCCTTCAACTTTTTTATAAATCAAACAATTTAAAACATCACTCCTACAGAACAACCAAAATCTCTCTGATGAGAGCAAGCCTTTGCTCAAAAGCTAGGAATCTAAATGTCCAACGTAACTATGGTGGAATAACAGAAATGTAGGTCAAAGTATTACAACAGATTATGAAAACATGAGGCAACACATGAAGTTTGAAAGTCATGATTATAAGCATTGGAAAGCCAGAAGTTTCTAAGTGGGCATTTTTAGTGGTTTTGCTTTAACTATTAAACGTTACATTTATATGAATACACTGTATTATGTGACTAATCAGAAAATGTTTCCTAAGGAAAGAACCAAAATAATTAATATTTTATATTAATATTATTGGAACAAATAGAAAAAGAATATTACTAATTGTGTATCTCAAAACTGAATTAGTGATGCTGAGGCAACTTCAGCACAAACAACCAAAGCGAAGGAGAAATAGCTACAACATAAAACTGTAAATAGAAATAACTTCCAGAAGCCAACATCACAATAACTTAGCAGTCACGATGACTATCCTGAAAAGTACAATCTCCCTAATCACATGGACAGAGCAGATATAGAAGGGCTGCTTCAAAAGTAATGCTTCCTATTTATGACAGAGGTAAATGTTGGTGGTATGGCAGTAGAGGTTGAACCTTCCCACCAATACTCTACCACATTTTGTTGTCATTCATCAGATGGCAGCAGAGGGGTAGTCTGCCAAAATGGCATCTGAAACTGAAGTGCATATGAAGTAAAGGTGCATCGTTGAATTCCTCCACATGGAAAAAAAATTGCAAATTTACATTCATCGACCCTTGCTGAATGTTTATGGAGACCAAACAGCGGCTGTGAGCAAATGAGGTGGTGGGTGGTGCACATCAGCAAAAGCAATATGAAAGACAAACCATTTTCCAGATGGCCATGCACAGCTGTCGCCATAAAATGAAGAGCATCTCCACCAGCTCATCCATGTGAACTGGAAGATCATGAAACGGGGACTGTGTATGAAGCTCAATATCAGCTTCAATGCATTAGAAATGATGGTGGCAATACTAGAACATCAGTTTGCATCAGATGGATCTCACAAATATTCACACAGTAACAGAAAGAACATCACATGCAAGTTTGCCAGGGATTATTGAACCAATAAGAAGCTGAAGGTGACAGTTCCTGGGATCACATCATTACCAAGGACAAGACATGGTGTCACCACTACAAGCCAGAGTTAAAATGGCAGTCTGTTGAATGGCAACGTGAATTCTCCATCAATGAGAAGTTCAAAACACAGCCCTCAATGGGTAAATGGGTAAATGGATGTGTGCTGCCTTTTGGGATAAAAAAGGGGCAACCCTTTTTGATTTCCCAGAACCCAGACAAACCATCAGCTCTTACTGCTACATCACAATGCTGACTATTCTGAAAGCTCAAACTTTCAGACTCAGACCAGAGAAGAATATTTTTCTCTTGCAACATGATAATGCCAGGCTTCATACCAGTCTGAAGACCATGGAACACACTGCCAATCTTGGCTGGACCATCCTACCACACCCACCGTATAGTCTGGATTTGGTGTCTCCTGATTTTTATCTGTTTAGGCTGATGAAAGATGGACTGCATGGGCAAAATTTTCCTAGCAACAGTGCGTAGCAAAGCAGCTCTGAAACAGTGGGTCACCTCTGCTGGTGCATAGTTTTGAGTGCAGCATGCAGGCTCTCATTCACTGCTGCCAAAAATTCATAGCTAAAGGTGGTGACTATATTGAATAATACTGTTTTGCAGCTGAGAATTTGCTCTGTCAAATAGCATCATTATACTCTTCGCAAATGTTGTAGATTCCATGGAAATAAAGAGGAGTCATTACTTTTGCAGCCACCTACATAAACTACGGGACAGAGCAAGGAACAACCCAAAATATATCCCAGTTGTACTTTAATACAAAACAAATTCATAAATCTGGTAGCTTCTTTGCTTGCTCAGACAAAATCCACTGCCATAAACACATTTAATGTATTTTCTAATCCACACTACTTGCACTAATCACTCCTTTGGTAATCTAGTATAAGAAAGTACTTAATGACACCTGTAATATTAATAGCTCTTCCTTAAAAAACATATTTAACTTGAATTCTAACTTTGCCTCATGAAACATCTGACACTGGTCATTACTGAAGAATACTTTAACAGCTAGACTCCCAGTTGCACCATTATGTTGCATGCATATTTAACTTCCTCAAAGTACATTATGTTAACTAGTAAGTCTGTAAAAACCACTAAGTAATGAACCACATTGAATAAATGCAAACAAAAACCCAAAGTGAATAAGGAAAACACACTCCCATGTTAGGAAAAAAACTCACATATCAAACTTTGTGACTTTTGAAGAGCTTACCTTCTTTTTGTCTCTCATTGAGCCCTTCCCTCGGACCATTATCTTGCATCCTGTTTCCGCCTCAAGCTGTTTAGCTGTTAGTCCTCTGGGCCCAAGGATTCTTCCAACAAAGTTAAACTGGAAGAAAAAAAGTATTTCTATAAAACAAAGTAAACAAAATGAATATAAAGATCTATTTCCATCTCTAAAACATCACAAATATTATTATTATTTTTTTTTTTTTAAATCAATTTAGAACATCACACTAAATTCCCGAGGTGAAAGAATGAGATAAGTATAACTTTTATACGTTAAATGCCTTGGCAATCCCTTCTGTGGAAGATAAGGATTTCAAGTAAAAATAGGTTTTTAAATTTAATCTGACAATCTAGGGTAGTGACACTCCTAGCTTCCACTACAATAAGTGCAATGAACTCTTACATAATGCTCCTTATTAGGCTAACAACGTGCATCATATCCTGGAAGCAGTTTCTGAATGCGTGACCAGACACACATAGAATATCTGTGTGGTTGGACTAGTATGTTGCCAGGCATATGTTCAGCCTCATAAAGGCACCACAAGGCTTTCACAAAAGATCTCTTGAACTAGCCTTCCTTTGCTCCCTTCAGCTAAGAAGCATCCAGAAAAAAAAAAAAAAGTATTATTTTGCTCTTCCATACTTTTTGACTGGGGTCTACCTGGCCAGCACACTGCCAACTGGCCACCCATCATCAACAGAAATTGAAGTATTTTCAAAACCACCACTTCTTAACATTTCCTTTAGCAAAGCAAACAAATGAAAAAACATGCTAACAAACACAGAGTTACATTAAAAAGGCAGATAAAATTGGCTTTCTTGAAGCAGGTTGCCTGGACAAAAAAATCTTTCAGCTGAGACCTCAACAAAATTACGTTATTCAGAACAACCATATTTAACAAATGACATTTCTACTAACACATCGCAGATGACCAGAAGCCCTTCTCAAACCCTGAAAATTTCAATTCTTGTGATTGGCCCAACACTTGTTGATTCCAAATGCCATTCTTCACAACTTTTGTCTTGCCAACTTCCCTCAGGTTTGTATCCAACCAACATCACATTAATCTTCATTTTTACAGTGAATTCCAGACTGATGACATGAGGAACACTAGTTTTGAATTTCAGTTGTCTTCAGAAGTAGCTTTTATGACATTTTCTAAGAGTATTTTCTACTCCACTAACAATGTTACTCCCAAAAAAGGAACAAGACTCCATTTGAGGTCGAACATCAGTTGATTCTATCATCACTACTAATCTGCTAATACAGTTCAAGCAAGTTGTTATTTTAACAAATGATTCCCAAGTCTTTTGTACTAACAGCTTACTGTCAACATTTAATTCCTCAGAGTGTCATATCAGAACTTTAGCCGAGAGCTCCACAGGAAAAAGCATTAACAAAATTTCTGAAGTGACTAAGTACAGATAAGAGACAACCAAACCACAACTGAGAAAACAGCACAGATTAATCCTTTTAGTTAGCATCAAAAGACTTATCTGAATTCAACTGTATCTGCATCTACTGTTTCTCTTACCTGCCAAATAATGGTAAATATTGTTACACTGGACAAAATCAAAGAACTGTTTCAATCCCATTTTAACTCAGGATTTCTCAAGTTTTTCCCAATCTCTCACCCAACTGCATTTTTACTCACCACCTTCCTTCTTCACCATCTTCAAACTACACATCTGTCTTTAAGAACACTGGTTATTCAAATACTGCATGATGTCTAAATTCAGAATACTTCTCTATCATTTCCTACAGCTTCATTCGCATGCTGGACTTGTCCAGTCCTCCAGGGTTCACCTTACTCCTAGTGAATTAATAAGTAAATATCAGCGATTCACAAGCTGCTTTGATCAATTTAAGATGACTAGACTTCACTACTACAAATGCATTCAGTTAATGTGTGTTAGAATAAGTGTGTTAAAAAATGGAGTAGATCTGTCCCGTGATAATATTAACTGCTTTCACATAAACAAGACCCAAGCAACAAGCAACCAAGTACTTTGTTTTCCTTTACGAAGTTAGTCTCTCTGTTCTTGACAAGTCTCTATATTGAACTTCTATATAACCACTTTTACTTGCAGTATTTTGTAATCATTTTCCTGTGTTTTTGTTTTGTTTTTGAAGAGGTGAACAAAGTTGTTTTTATTGTGCTCTCAAATCTTCCTATGCAAACTCAATATCAGTACTCCATACTAGAATTCCAAGTCTGTGACATGTATAAGCACGAAAGTATCCTATGCATTACTACATATTCATGCAGAATCAAACACATCAGGATTTAGAGCAGCTTTCTTCTCCAAATGTTTGTACCTAGTCCAGGATCTTAATGATCGCTGTGCAGCAACAGACACTCCCAGAAGCTGACAAAATTTCAGCCCTATCTAACAAGTTGACTGAATCAGAAACTCTCTAACCCTCTATTACCCAGGAAAACCAATAGCTTTCACTTTTACATTGCTTCCATGCCTCATCAGATTCTACATCCAGAACAAAAGGAAAACAAGAACTAACTATGCTAAAATTCGAAGCTGCAGATTAATAAAAGGTTTCACAGACGCATGACTTATTCTAACAGCGTACAAGAATGCAATTCTTTAGAAACTTCCCATACAAGTTAAAACCTGAAGAATTTGGAGGAATTCGGAAGTATTATATTTCATCCGTACTTTTTGTATTCTGTATTTTCCCATCACACCTGAAAGTAAGATATGAAGATCTCGTTTATCTAAAAAAAAAAGTCTTTATTTTTAGAAAATAATTTGAAAAAAAATTGATCAAAATAGCCAAATCTCACAAGAAAGATATCATATGAACATGCATTTGGTTAGAGAATTAATTCGCTCAATTAAAGACTAAATTATTCTACCATTTTATTACTGCAAGTGTTCCATGATTTACTATACGTGGCATTTACAGAGATGTTAAAGTCTATTCCAATTTTAAGCAAAATGAAAAATGCCTTAGCAAGTTTATTGTGCTACAAACACGCTGAGTATGAACATTTTGCATTTAGCCTAAATATTCTTCTAAGTAAAATATAGTAGTACTTCACAATAGAAGATGTTCTATGCTGACATTAACTAAGAAAACAAAGTTACAATTTAATTATTCTTGAGTACTTATTTGTATGTATGGTTTTACTGAAGAAAAGTAGTGTATGCATTTAATTGAGACAGATTCATATGTATAGCTCTCCCACTGTATTATTTCCAATTTAAAAAAATAGCACCATACTGACAAAAAAACTTCTAAGAAATGGAAATGCTCTAAGTCATGACAGCACTGTGACAGCACTATGACAGCTGTTTTTGCATAATTTGAAGATAGCTTATATTGCTTCCATTACATTTTTAGATAATCATAGAATATATATATATATATATTTTTTTTTAAATCTTAACAGCCATGTAACTAGGTAAACTGTAACTATGTAAAATACTTGAAGTATTGGGAAACAACAGCATAACAAATTTTAAAAAGGTAAGATTTTACACTTTCAGCTCTGTAGTATGTTTAATGAAGAAAACAGGACACACGGCATTACCTGTTGCTCAGAGATCTCTTGTCAGAAAATATTAAATGCTATATAGGACAGTAGGAAAACATAAATGTGCAGTTTATTCTACTCTACAATGTGCTTTCTCATTACAGTATTTTCCAGTGTTTGTTCAGTTAACCATAAGCAAATACCCATTCTCAAAATGACAACTTTATCACAAGTTTTTACTGACAATATATAAGCTGTAGTGGTATAAATTTAGATATTTACACACACTCATACAGAGACTTTAAGGAGTACTAATGTTATAGCTAAGAAATTTCTATATTCAAAATAACCACAAAAGAATTCAAAGCCTTTTAGTTCGTATTTACATCCCTATTTTTTTTTCTTTCAGAAAAAATATTATATCAAAATACTCCAAGTTATGGATGCCACCTCATCCCCACAGATTATACAGCTACATTTTTGACAGTCGCTGGTTAAGAAAGTGTCTTTCCTCTGCACAGAAAGACTCAGACATTTCATGTCTTCCTAACTATCTGTGGCGATTTAACTCCACACTCATTGCTAAAGTGATCAAAAGAAAGTAGTAACAAGAACTACTACTAAATAAGAACAACTGTATCACGTTTGCAGCTTATCCAATGATGACACTAGATTCACTGAAAACAAAGAATGGAAGTTTCCATACACAGATGTGTCATTAGTTCATATTCAAAAAAACAAACAGAAAAAGTGTGTTTCAGAAATATTTCCGAGATTGCAAAATCTTTCATTAATTGCATTAGCATGTATTTTGAGGATTAAATATGCCCCAGTGGAATTTGGCAATTGTATTTAAGAGATCCAATCTCTGATGATATTATACAGGAAGAGGAGGCTGACTAGATGGTATTAACATCATCAACACAATGAACACAGTACTAATAACATATCTAATTTTTTTTTTTTTAATACAAACTAACCTTAATGTAGTTTTTAAGCTGTTGATGAAAAGTGAACTTGTATCCTGAAATCTCTTCCAGAAACACCTACTGCTAACAGAAGACAGGCTGCAGACAACAACGCCCAAGAAACATTCCCTTCATCCCTTTATCAAATAAGTTTTCTAAGCAAAATAACCAAGTAAATGCCAAAGTACATATGTAGTGAATGACATGTATAATCTGCTTATGCCAGATATATCCATTTACATCTGCTGGGTATATCTGACCCACACCATTCTAACACTACCATCAAAGCTAAGCGAGGACTCATCTTGTTACAGGCAAGACCTGATAATTATTGTAGGAGTAAGACAAGCTTAGTCAAGATTGAAAGCATGTTTAAGCAACATATTTTTAATGCAAAAGTAAAGGATATGAACATCATTGTAATATATTACTAAAATGCAGTGCTTTTGAACATGAAGAACAAAGGTAATGTTCAGTATTTTCAAGTCTGTTACTTATTAGCATCCAGAGCCCTCCCTCTTGGACATGAGCAATACATGCTCACATGACTTCAAGGATGGATTACGGTAACAAACATTGTGATTCATCTTGAGCAACGTGCATTTATAACCGTGCTTCTCATAAGCAAAGCTCTC